GATCTCATTTGTGGAATGTTAAAAAAAGAAAAGAGAAAAATTCAAATATACAGAGATAGAGAATAAAACAGTGGTTACCAACAGCAGGAGTGTGGGATGGAGGAAAAATGAGGAAATGGTCAGAGGATAAAAGATAACATAGATATAGGATGAACAAGTTGAGAGATTTCATGTACCACATGAAGATTATAGGTAATAAAATTGTCTTACCAGATGTGGTTGCACATGCCTGTAATCCCAGCACTTTGGGAGGTCAAGGCAGAAGGATCGTTTGAGCCCAGGAGTTCAAGACCTGCTTGGGCAACATAATTGAGATCCCCTCCCTGCAAAATAAATAAATAAATAGTACTAGATTAATGCTAAATGAATATATTTCAACTACTCTAGTCACAAAGACACAAAACAATGAAACAATGGGCATGTGAGATGATGGATATGTTGATTTGCTTCACTGTCATAACCTTTTTGCTACCTATATGTTCTGTAGAAGCATGTTGTATATCTTAAATATAGATAAAAAATTTTAATAAATAGAACTGCCAGCAATCCCACTACCAGGTGTTAAAAGGAAAAAGCCTTAGACTTTTACATTTAACATAGTTTATTTGAACAAAGCAAAAAACAACCCTTGAGTCAGGCAGTCCCCAGAGCCAAAACAGGTTCAGGGTACTCTATCCAACAAGGTGATCCGACAGCATTTATAAAAAATGGTATTGAGGTCTAGGGACAACTTAATTAGTCACAGCTTCATTGGTTTATTGGTTACAGAACCTCCTGCAATTAATTGAAGTACAGCGACTATGATTAAACTCTATATTGCTTTGGACTGTTGAGCTGAGTGCAGAAGCCAAGTCTAAATCAATGGCCTTTTACAATTTTGCTTAACAATTACCCTCTTTTGGTCATGCCCTTAGCAACTAAAGTGTGACCAAAATTAGGGAAATTGGTGCTACTCTCAGTCACCATTGTGTTGGGTTTCTGGTCTCAACATGTCATTCATAGGTTATGGTGTCCCCATAATCATACATTTATTTAAGTTTTTGTCATTTCAGGCTGAAGGGAAACCATTTAGCATTCATCAGATGGCTGTGTGTAGACATTTGAGACTTTTTGAGAAAATACCGTTCATGAGGGAGACTATTATGACTTTTAGGAGAATAATACCAAGAATTTGAAGTATGCGCCTTAGCCAGGGTCCTCATGAACCAAGTCAATTCAAATGGATTACCCAAAGAATGAACCAGATTAGTCTATTCATTTTAGCTTAATAGCCTGTTCACTGATAATTTTGGTAACTGAGTCCCTACAATGCTCAATGTATTTATTCACATGCAACAAAAAGTATTAGCGACTAGTTAAAATCCTCCTTGTTCAGCTAGTAGGTATTCTGGCATCCCATGACTTGGTTAAATTAAAACAGAATGAGAACAAGTGAGTCTCGAAGTCTGATTACAGTATTATCCTATGCAGGGAAAGAGGTAGCCATAGCAAAGATAAGAAAGGTAAGAGTCTCATTATGATTAGTCTTGTTGTTGCATTCTGGGAAAGGCTGTTCACATCTAAGATGCTGTCTACTTCTGGGGAAGCTTGTCCCTAGTCAGCTTTACCTTAAAGTCTCCAACAAGTATACAGTTCAAGAAGTCTGGAAGGATTCTCCTGAGTTGTGAGATGAAGACCAAAGACTTGAGGCAACAAAGATCCACAGCAGTGTGGGCAATGAGAAGAATCTGGCATAATTCCCTCCAATGTGGTTCAAAAGAAGTCCTTTTCTGATATCATTTCCAGAAGACCCAGTAATCAGATTTCTAGATCATGAAAGATCTAATTATCTTCAGTTGATAAGTCATGAAGGGCTTGCTTTACCTGGTGAAAATATTCTTTGGGACAATGCATTGAAACTTTGCAGTATTTACTCATATGAGAGTTTAAGAGAATTGAAGATATATGAAGTGAAGTTTCATCACCAGTGCATAGGCCCTCCAGCAACCATTCCACAAAGGACCAATCCATGCTTTCCAGTGGAGTGGGTCTGATCGCTATTAAAGCCAATAAGAGTGCCTTTGGCCAAAGTAATCCAATTGATTCAGTCAACTGATTCAGTTAACTTCCATTGATTCAGTTAACTTCATCAGTTGATTCTCTTAACTGCCATTATGTTTGTAATACCTTATTTAACCATCCCACAACTTTTGTCCAGTAAAACAAACCCCTCCATCACTGGAGACCCCTCCAAGAATGCCCCATAAAGTAAATACATTTTTTTTTTTTTTGAGACAGAGTCTTGCTCTGTCACCCAGGCTGGAGTGCAGTGGCATGATCTCGGCTCACTGCAACCTCCGCCTCCTGGGTTCAAGTGATTCTCCTCTCTCAGGCTCCCAAGTAGCTGGATTACAGGTGTGTGCCACCATGCCTGGCTGATTTTCTGTATTTTTAGTAGAGACAGGGTTTCACTGTGTTAGCCAAGATGGTCTCGATCTCCTGACCTCGTGATCTGCTTGCCTGGGTCTCCTAAATTGCTGAGATTATAGGCATGAGCCACTGCACCTGGCCAGGAAACACATTTTTAAATGACCTTTCAGCTACTGCTCTAGTATTCGCCCTTCTGCATATGGAAACTTCTACAAAACTGGAACACAGACTACTGGAAGAACATATTCATATTTCATTAAAACTAGCAATCAAAATTTCTCTGTAAATGTTCAAGTGGTTCATCAGATAGCAGGAGTATGCCACCTGAAGTTTTGATTGTCTCCCTAGGATTATGGGCTTGACAACCAAACACTGGTTATAAACAATTTTAGCAATTTTAGAAGAGTCACCATGCCAATACTTTTAAAAATTTGTATTATTTTGTCTGCTCCATGATGGGTTATGGAGGGCAGAACCTTCAGCAATGGAAACTTTAAAGACCTGGGAAAGACCAGGTGGCTGTCCAGGCCCTCCATGAGTCCATACACATTGAATTTACATTGATTTTACTTCCCTTCAAATATCAGTCTTGTTCCTCCAACTCAGGTACATAGCACTGTCCATTAAACAGGCTACTACAGGCAATTCGATTTGTCTTAAGAAGTTCATTCAAATTGCATATCTTTATAATTTCAGCACTGGCTGACCCAGCATGAAAATCTGTTAAAGTATTTCCCTGGTTTCAATCAACTTCTGTTCTGCCTCATATTCGACTAGCAATCTTATGAAACACTTAGTTTGTTCATAAAAGTTCCTGGAATTCTTACCTAGTGCCATGGCGTATTTTCGAAGTTACTGGAATTCTGTACTTGTCAGAATTCTTTCCACAAAATTCCCTGAAGATGAAACACTTCAGGCCATAGTAAATAAGTAACCATTTGTGCATGACAAGACTTGAAATGTCCATAAAGATCTGATGAGAGTTCATTACAATCATGATGCAATTGACATGGAAATTCCATTACTTCTGTTGTATACAACATCTTAAGATAATAACTGGAATTATGATGGACAGCATTACACCAGGATGATCAGATTTATATAAATTTTATACTATTTCTGAAATACATATGAATAACACATCCATACAAATATAGCTCAAAGAAGGTCTAGCATCACTTACTATTTGAAAATGCTTTCCATACAGTTTAATATATCAAATAATCCTAATTAGTTTAATATATCCCTTTCAGATATTTCAGGGGCCCTTCTGGAATGCAACAAAGTCAATTCAAAGTCAAAAGACTTATAATTAAAAATTTAATTTTGAGAAGTTTGTCAAAAATATCAAAGTTTAAAACACTTGATAAAAATGAAGACACAGGTCACTGTGAATAATACTAGTCATTTTTTTAACAAAAATTACAAAATATTTCAAAGACATATACAGAAGGCTATACAGTCACAGAAAAATTTCAGCTCTGTTAAAAGAAAACTGTCTTCTTAAGTGACTGAAAACCAAATAACATGAATCAGAAGAAATTATCTTGGTAAACAAAGAATTTTTGTTTACCTAGGCCAGTTTCCCAAAATGTAAATGAAACTTCTCACAATTTTTTATTTAGAGCAGCTCAATATGCTGATGAAAACTTTAACACAGGGACCAAATTCCAGTTTTTCACTGATGTACTTTTGATGATAATGCTCAATTATTAGAAAAACTTACAAATAATTCCCTTCTAATTGTAGCCAGCTTGATTACTTATAAAATTCCTTTCACAAGATTCATCTTCTCCAGCTTTCTTATGCATCGATTTTATCTATATCTTTCCTTCCTTCCTTTATTCATTCTGAAATCAGCTTTAAACAACTTCCAAACTAGACATAATTACTCTTTTCCTTGACAAGAACACATCTTTTATGACTTATAGCTTCAAAAACATGTCTTACTTTCTTCAAATAAGGAATTATTTCTAGTTCTAATTACCATATGTTAGTTTATATATATATATATGTAAAGCAGAATTTATATATATATATATAAAAAAATATATATATATATATTTTTTTTTTTTTGAGACAGAATCTCACTCTCTCACCCAGGCTGGAGTGCAGTAATGCAGTTTCGGCTCACTGCAACCTCCGCCTCCTGAGTTCAAGCGATTTTCCTGCCTCAGCTGCCCAAGTAGCTAGGATTACAGGCATGTGCCACCATGCCCAGCTAATTTTTTTTTTTTCTGTATTCTTAATAGAGACAGGGTTTCACCATGTTGGCCAGGCTGGTCTTGAACTCCTGACCTCAAGTGCTCCACCCGCCTTGGCTTCCTAATGTTAATCAGAATTTTAACTCTTAGTAACTTTATTTTCTAGTGACAACTTAGTGAGTTGTTTTTTATTTTTTCTTTCTTTCTTTCTTTTTTTTGGGGGGGCATCTTGCTCTGTCAACCCAGGCTAGAGTACAGTGACACAATCATAGCTCACTGAAGCCTCAACTTCCTGGGCTCAAGTGATCCTCCCACCTCAGCCTCCTGAGTAGCTGGGACTACTCCCATCACACCCAGCTAATTTTTAAAATTTGTAGAAATGGAGTCTCACTATGTAGCAATCCTCCTGCATCAGCCTCCCCAAATTCAGGGATTACAGATATAAGCCATCATATCCCACCAAAGTGAGCAATTTTGAACTGTTTTATATCAGCATTTTGTAGATGAAGCCCATTTCATAATTTTAGAAACATGTATCCTCATAATGCAAACCCTTTCATGTTTATTAATACCCCGATATACTTAGCTTCTTTATATCATATAAAAAGATGTATCACTAGCAGAATTTATCCATTTTCAAACATTAACCTGTGATACTAGCACTATGTCTGGTACCAGATAAATGACAACAAAAATGGCTGACATGAGTTCAATTCAACCATTCATCTATTTGCAGATACTAACACAGAACACAGGGAATGAATAATCCTTTTCTTCATAGCACTTAAAAATTATTAATATTCTGATGTGTACTGCATACATGTGTACATCTAGATCTTCTGTGACACTGCATGATGGAAGAAACTACATCTACCTTGTTTACCATTACTTCCCTGGCCCTGGTAGGATGTTACACATACTAAATAGTCAAATATCAGTTAAAGAAATGAATATGGCCATGCTGAGATCACGCCACTGCACTCCAACCTGGGCGACAGAGCAAGACTCTGTCTCAGAAAAAACAAAAAAAGAAAATGCACAGAAATGGACAAACTCACATATATTTTGTAAATTAAAATTACAGCAAGCCACCTCTCCCCTTAATACTAGCCTTCCTTAATTGCCCCCACAGAATTTTAGTAAGGCTCTCAATTTTGAAGCACCTGTAAATTTGAAGGCCAAAGTAATTAAAAAATTGGTGCTTGTCTAAAGTTTTTAATAAAGAACAGAAAAACCCGCATCTTCCTGTCTCTCTCATTCAGTTAGGTGGGTTTGTCATTCCTAGTGTAACAAGAGATGGAAGTTTATTCTTAGGAAAATTGAAGCTGAGAGCCTGAACTCAGGGACTCCAGGCACAAATGAGGATGAGAGTGAGCGGCCTGGCTGAAAAGGGGAATAATACTCAGCTAATACTGAGATGGTGGAAACAAACACAAGATGAGGGCACACTGCATTCACCGGAAGGGAGTAGTCCTAGAGAGCTGCTCCACCCACAGTACATCTTGCATGACCAAGGAATAAACTTTTATGCGATAGGTAAAAGCCTCATTGTCCCTGTACTGCAGTAGGCAGACAGCCTACAGCTGCAGAGAGCTGCCTCACTCAAGGCCATGCCTCTTCCCAGTTTGGCCCACATCCAGTGACTGCTCAGCGCTGCAGCATAAGGCTTGGCCAACTCTGCTGAATTCAGGACGCCCCGGAAGGGCCATCTGAGCTCCAGAGCTGCCTGCAGGATCCGCTGAGACTATCTTTGGCCCTGAGCCACAGATAAACTTTTCCCTGAGCTCAAAACTGCTTCCTTCCTCTTTCTTTCTCAGATATGGATCCTAAGGGCACTCTTTAAGAAAGATCTTTGTGCTGAAGTCTTAGAGTGTGCTCTGTAGTGAACCTGACTGCAACTGTACTTTAGGTTTGTTTGTGTTTCAAAGAGCATAATTTCCATGAGAGAATAAAGATCAATGCCCCCTGCTGAAATTATAGTTCTTCTTTGCATGGTTATTCAGTGATGTGAACAGATAGAAATGGCCACATGAGAATCTCAACTTCCAATTTATGGAATTATTGCTGTGACCCTCCCCCGCTGCCAATAAAAATATGTCCCTTTGAACACCCAAAGTCACAAGTACAAAAAGCAAACATTTTGCCTTTGAGAGGCATGATGGATCATTCCCAGTTTTTCACCCAGATTTACTGGAACCACGCTCTCTGGCTCTGAGAGGAACGGTCCTATGTCCAGAGCAGTGGGCTCTCACATGCATTGTGACTGGAAATGTGACATCATACAGCTGCTTTGAAAACTGTGTGTCAGTCTTCCATAAACCTAAGCAGACATCTATGCCTAGAAGATCTTTCCCTAATTATCTACCCAATTCATAAGAATCAAGAACTATGAAAAATGCATATGTCTTTGAACAGGTAAATAGAAAAACTGTAGCGTATTAAAATATTATTCAGCAGTAAAAAGTAATGAACTCTGGCACATGCAACAGGATAGATGGATCTTACAAACATATGATTTGGGAAAAAGAAAAACCAGATCGAATGGAAAACATACTGTACAATTGCATTTATATTCATTTAAAAAATAAGCCAACCTAAGCTGTGGTCACAGAATTTAGAACATGATTACCTACGGTGGGAATTAACTGGAAAGTTCCAGGCTGTGGGAATGACCTACATCTTGTTTTGGGTGATGATTACATGGGTTTATATAATTGTTAAAACTCACCGATGTGGAGACCTAAGATCTATAAGTTTTATTGCATGTGTTTTAAACTGAAGAAAACTGAATAGGAGCCAACATAGGGGAGCTGGAAAAGTGGGAACCATCTTAAGAAACTCTGGAAAGCTAAATTCTAGGTTGGCAGGGAAAAAAAGCTGGAGAGCAACATAATCCCCAGTGCAGAACCAAAAGGAATGAAGATTTTGTGACACCAGGTACTCCTGGAGTTGGGAATAAAAGAGGCTAAACAGAGATTGGGTTGGAAATCTGTTGGAGAAGTGTCAGTTTCTTGGGTCAGCTCCTTCAAGTTAGCATCTGGATGCCTGCTTCCACCCACCCCAGTGGAAAGTGAGACTTTCTCACTCTTATATTGAGGCGAATAATTGGCAATTAAAATTAGGTGATAATGTTGGGTTGTGGCTAAGGAAATGGAGAGAAATAAAGAAGTTCTGAAAAATCTCAGATGATTGATAGCTTAGCTCACATTCTAATTTGGAACGTTAGAATTGAACATCTGCTTGTTACCCTTCAGCGACATCTCAGTCTCTTTCCAGGCAGATAGATGCCCTGGGACACCTAAAATTAAAAAAATATATATTGAGTTGTGAAGACAAGAAACATAGGCACGTAGAGAATTTTTAGAAAATATTGCTCCTATTGCACTCCTGTTTCTACTCAGCTACTTTGTCAGTATTTTGCATTATTTTGCCAAACAAAAGCAAGCAATGGTACAGCTAAAGTAGTTCCTAAATTAGCCTTTAGAAAATTCAGGAAGTTGCTTGTGGTTGTGGAGGGCTTCTTCAAGCAATTGTAGTTAGAATTCTATGTTACTTTATTTTGACACATTCAATTTGGACTGCTCTTCTTGACAGATGGTGCCCATATTCAGCTGTTTGCCCATGTTCAATATTAACCTTTTGCCATGCTGTATTCTATTTTGGAAAATCAAGAAACATTGATAATGAAAACTAAAGGCAAGTGTAGAGTCATCTTTGCCCTCTCCCGTGACCTCCGTTGCTAGGCTTCACTTCATTTCTGAGAAATAATAATCTTGTGTTCTCTGCACATTCTTCACGTTTATACACATAATTTTACACAGCCAAGATAATATGTCAGGTGTGGCTTTACCAACTTCTCCTCCTCCCCGCCCCCCATTTAAAAACTTAATGTTACAAGTTCTGAATACATTGCTATATATATAGATCCTAGTGACTCCAGCTGAGTCAATCGATCTGTGTAATTTTTCATTTTATTTCCCTGCTGATGGATAAGTAGATTATTTCCACATCTTTCTTACCTTAATGCTTTATTGAACAGCTGTGTACATAGAATTGAGTTCCTTGGTTATATTTCTACTCATTTTCAACTTTTGTAGGAACAGCTATATTGGTGTATAATTTCTATCTCCATTAGAGCAGTGTGACCATTCTGGTTTTCCCATATGTTGGCCCATTTTTATATTGTCAGATCCTTTCACCTTTTTCTTATATAAATTGATTTCTTTTTAAAGTATCACTGCATTTTCTCAATTACTAGTGATCTTGTATATCTCCTCATATTTACTGGCCATTTGGATTTCCTTTGTTCAGGTTGCCTGTTCTAAGCCTTTGCTCACTTCTTTTGGGTTGACTCTTGTTTTGTTTATTGATCTCTAGAAGTTTTCAGGAAACTCATTTATTGTCTATTTTATGTATGATAAAACTATTCTATGCTGTGTCTTGTCTCTTAATTTTTTTGTGTCATTATTACACCGAAATTGGTTAAGTATATCAGACATTTCCATCATTGTTTGTGCTTTTGGTTCTTCTTTAGGGCATTTTATCCTACCTTGAATGGATAACACATTCTTCAATATATTTACAAATAGTCTTGAAGTTTTCCTTTGTACAGCAGGTGTTTAATCTATCAGTAATTTACTTATCTAAGTAGTGTGAGGTAGAGCTCTATTATTCCCCCCAAAAAGGCCACTATCATTTCACCTATTGAATAATTAATTCCTCTTCACAGGATTGGTATGCCACTTTCATTATATACAGATTCCCACCTGCACAGTTGAGCCTTGAACAACATAGGTTTGAACTGCATGTGTCTACTCATACGTGGATTTTTTTCAATAACTATATTGGTAAATGTCTTGGACATTCAGAACAATTTGAAAAATCTGTGAGACAAATCTTGTGGTTTAGAAGTATTGAAAAATGAAAGTAATTATGTATGTTATGAATGCATTAAATACATGTATATAATGTGTATGTTGTCATTTATTACTGTAAAACATACACAAATTTGTTTTTAAAAGTTAAAATTTATCAAAACTTACACACAGATCATACATGGGGCCAATTTCAGGTGAGATAAATGTAAACAAATGTAAAGATTTAGTATTAAATCATAACTGCATGGAATTAACTGTAGTACCCCTTGTACTACTGTAAGAATTTTGTAGCCACATCCTGTCACTATCGAGGAGAGCTCCGGTGTTGCACGTATCCTCTTAAAACACTGTGGGACGCTAATAATCTACACATGAGCAAATATACTCAGTCAATTGCAGGTTCCTGAGCATTTTTCATATTTAGTACAATGTCATAAAGTTTGAATAACACCGTGAAACCCATACGAAGTACCACTAGTGATCCTGGAAGTATTCCCAAGAGGCAGAGAAAAGTCATGACATTACAAAAAGTTGCATTGCTTGATGCATAGTGTAGACTGAGGTCTGCAGTGACGTTACCAGCCATTTCAGACAGACTGTTCATCTTCTAAACAGATGAAGTAAATTGAAGGTATCCAGAAATACAGTACAGTACTTTAAATGCATTTTCTCTTCCTTATGATTTTCTTAAAAACATTTTCTTTTCTCTAGCTTACTTTATTGTAAAAATACAGTATATAATACATGTAACATACAAAATATGTGTTAATCAACTATTTATATTATCAGTAAGGCTTACAGTCAACAATAGGCTATTAGTAGTTAAGTTTTTAGGGAAGTCAAAAGTTACTCAAGGAGTTTCAACTACACAGAAGTTCAATGTCCCTAACCCTCTCCTTGTTCAAGGGTCAACTGCATGTGCACATATGTCTGGCCTCTGTATTCTGTACTTAGATGTATTGTTAATTTCAGCTCAACTCTCACAGTTTGGTAAGGGAGAAGTCATTTGTCCTTTTTTTAGGTATCATTTTGGAGATTCTTGTTTAAATCTCTGACTCTAACACTCGCTAGCTTTATCACCTTGAACAAACTGCTTAATGTCCCCATGACTGGGTTTTGTCATCTGAAAAACAGAGATAACATTTTTCTTATAGGTTATTATGAAGATTAAATGAGTTATTCTGTGCAGAGTAAATTGAACAGTGTTTGGCATTTTATAGTCACCGTGTATGTTAGCTATTTTAAATAACAGTTTTGTTATTAGAGATTAAGAGGGATTTCTGTTCATCAAAACATATGGAGAAGGAGAGAAAAGACCAACCAAGGAGTGTGAACAGATATTGTATTACTCATCTCTAATAAAGAGCTAATATCCAGTATACATAAAGAGCTAGCACAGAGACAGCAAACCCAGTAGAGAAATGGACAAATACATAATAGTCAGTCACTTCATGAGTGAGAATATCCCATTGGCCAATAAACATATGAAAAAAATGCTCACTCTCATTTGTAATCAGGAAAATGAAATTCTTCCTTCCTTCCTTCCTTCTTTCTTTCCTTCCTTCCTTCTCTCCTTCTCTCTCTTTTTTCTTTATTTCTTTCTCTCTCTCTTTCTCTCTGTCTCTCTTTCTTTCTCTTTCTTTCCCTTCCTTTCTTCCTTCCTTCTCTCCCTCCCTCCCTCCATCCTTCCCTCCTTCCTTCCTTCTTTGCTTCCTTCCTTCCTTCCTTCCTTCTCTCCTTTTCTCTCTCTCTTTCTTTCCCTTTCCCTTTCCCTTTCCCTTTCCTTTCCTTTCTCTCTTTCTTTCTTTCTGGGTCTCAGCCCAGGCTGGGCTGCAGTATCAGGATCACAGCTCACTGTACCTCGACCTTCTGGATTCAGGTGATCCTCTCACCTCAGCCTCCCAAGTAGCTGGGACTACAGACGTGCACTACCACACCCAGCTGACTTTTCTATTTTATATAGAGATGAGGTTTTGCATGTTGCCTAGGTTGGTCTCCAACTACTGGGCTCAAGTAATCTGGCCATCATGACCTCCTGAAATGTTGGGATTACAGGTGTGAGCCACCATTTTTTAAAAAAAAGTTACAGGGTCTCACTCTGTCGCCCAGGCTGGAATTCAGGGGTATAATGATAGTAAATACAAATTTAATGAGACATCACCACAATCTCACCTGACTGGCTATAACTAAAAAGTCTGATATTTGCCAAAGATTTGCAAAAGTGAAGAGCAATGAGTACCCTCATACACAGCTAGCAAGTGTGTAAATTGGTAACAACTGTTGAAAAACAATTTGCCATTGTAAAGTTTGAATTCACATACAGTTGTCCCTTGATATTCTGGGGGGTGAAGGGGGTGAATTTTAGGTCCTCCTAAGTGTTCTCAGGATGTACAAGTCCCTTATATAAAATAACTTAGTATGTGCATGTAACCTATGCATGTCCTCCCATAGACTTTAAATCATCTCTAGATTACTTATAATTCTTATTACAATGCAAATATTATGTAGTTGTTCACTGAAATGTTTTTTATTTGTTATTTTTATTGTTTTTTTCCTCATTTTCTGAATATTTTCAACCCACAGTTGGTTGAATTCACTGATGCTGAACACAGAGGTTACAGAGGGCTGGCTGTATTGTACAACAAGGTATCCATTTACAGATAAGAGGACACATGAGCTCCAGTATACATGTCTAAGCATGTTCTGAGTAACACTGTTTTTAAAAGGCCCAAGTGAAAACAATCCAAATGCCCATCAACAGCAGAAACATTTATACCATTGAACACATTATGGCAAGGCAACAAGACCAAGTACAGTACACGGAACAATATAGATGAGGGAAATAACACATGAAAATACATTAAAATACAAAAAAGCATTATTCTATTTATATAAGTTTATATAACACTTTCAAAATGAGAAACATTTTAATTAATTTATTTAGAATTTTGCAGAGGAGTTTTGTCTCTTCTCCTCAATTTGTTAATTTATTTAATCATTTAGCTATAACATCATGAACTTATATTTATTTTATACTTTGGATTATAATTCAATTCTACTTCGGTTATTTTGTTGCTCAATTTCTTTGATATTTGGCCACCGGGAACTGTTTGCATTGGTTTCTGTGCCCCTCTAACATAATCCCATCAATGCTATTATTTGTTTTGTATTTACCACACCCTTATTTTCCGGATGGTTGGATCACAGGGGTGTTTCTTATGAATAGTTAAGCACTATTCTCCCAGTGCTGTTGTTGTGGTAGAGTTCCCAGAAGATCTGGTTGTTTAAAACTGTGCAGCACCTGCACCCTCTCTGTAATTCTCCTGCTCCAACCAGGTAAGATGTGCCTGCTTTCCCTTTACCTTTTGCCATGATTGTAAGTTTCCTGAGGCCTGCCCTGAAGCAGAAGCTCCTGTGCTTC